CCTTATCTTTTGAATCCTTGCTCTGTGATTGCAGCCGACACTGGAGACAGTTACAGACTGTTTGGTTGTCTTAGAGGATTCAGACTCAAATTTGAGAAAATCTCTTTTAAGAGCTTGATCTGCTACAAAAAACAGTCCCCAAAGCAGGGAAACAAGTGTGTGTGTGATGGAAGTGACTAGAGGATGACTGAGAGCTGCTTTTTTTGACAGTGTGTGTTTTGTGTGTACCTGCACAAAATTTTTCAGTTACTTTTCTGAGAAATGAGGAGGTAGAGATGATGAGATTTGGCTCTGCTTATGTTGAGGACCAAAGAATCTCAGTGAGTCAGGCAACTCACGCACTGCTGTTTTTTTTCCCCCCAAACATTTTATTAAACAAATGATTACTTGTAAAAGGGGAGAATGGTAGTTGTCTTATATATTAAGAGAATAAGGCCAAATGAATCACTAAGTTGATAATACTACAAGAAGTTATAGGGATTATCTCTGGAACTGCTGAAACTGATCCTGTTGATATTCTCTCTGGTAACTCGAGTTGGTAAATGTGAGAGTATCTGTTTTTTCTCAGCTCCAAAATTGTTGAAAGTAGGAGCCTGTGTTTATGAAAGTTCTTACAACAGAGACCTGAATCATACAATTTACACTGAATTTATGGGCACTGGCTTCTTTACTCAGCTGTCTCTTGTCACAGGGGAAATGGGAGGATGCCCAGATTCCAAGGGAGTGTTGTCTGTTCTTATGAATCTCAATGATTATTCACTTACACATAGTGGTTGTTAAGTGTAGACCTGAACCACTGTTTTTAGTCCTTCTGTTTGGAAGGGATTTCTTTCCTTCTCCCCATTTACTAGGTCTGTGGAAGTACCTGACGGCTGGGATGGGCATGAGAGCCTCCTTTAAGTTAAAATTACAAATTGAGGAAAAGGTGTCTCTCCCTTCTGAATGGTCCATTGCTTGTTTTAATGGTTGATCTTATAGTTCCCATGTGGTAGCATTGTGGAATAAGCTGGTTCTTTATATTGCTGTTATTCTTAAAGTTCAAGAGGAAAACTGAAAAGATGTTGGCTAGTTTTCGCCGTGGCTTGGCAAAACTGTCAGCCTCAGCAGAAGGATCTGGAACTCTGTTGCATGTGATAGTTTCTGCTTAATCTTTGTTCAGAAAGATGCCTTTGCAACCCCTACAGCTAGAAACTTAGAAATGTAATGCTAGCTCTTTAGAAGTGTGCTGGATTGTTTCATCTAACACTGTAAAAGTGGCTTAATAGCTTTCTAAAGAAGAAAGGAAAAGTTTTACTATTTTTTACCAGATCAAAAAAAATACAGGTGTTTTCTTCACACAACTGACTGCGATGGAATAAATTTTTACACCTGCACCATAAAGCATGCAGACAATGGGTTCTTGTATGTATTATACATATACGTGACTGTTTGATACTGTCTGCAGAATACACACAATGTACTGTTGGAAACATATCTTCCAAGTTCTGTTTGATAACATGGGGGGAAAAAAGCAATCCAACCTGTTCTCCATTTGCTGAAACATACATACATAAAAACAACTGTAGTTTTTCCATGTAGGAAGCAGCTGGAATGCTCTTACACATTGGTTTTTTCCTATTTCTTTGGTTCATCCTATAGCAATAAGGGAAACTGTAAAAATTACTGTATACCAGCTGCTGAAACTTGAAGCGCATTGGGAGAGCAGAGTTGATTGCTAACAAGTATTTAAGTTCTATGCCAGCTGTGCAGAATAAACATTTCTGTAGCTTTTCTTCAGATAGTTGAACTGTAGATGAAATGCTATTTTCATGTGAAGATTTCTTACTTCACGTGTTTGAGGCAACTGCTTTACATCTATAAAAATCCTTTATTATATCTTCAGGGAAGAAGGTTTCTGTATGACTATTTTTCATTAAGGTCAGTTTTTGTCACCGTAAGAGTAATTCTCAAATGTCTGCTCTTTTAGAGCTTTGCTTAGTGACTTTCAGAATAAAGGAAAAAAGCTTTTAGAAAGCCTCAAAGGAATTTAATAAGGGATAATACTACAGGTGCTTACAGATGGCTTATTGAAAGTGTAGTGTGAACGTATAACCTTTATTTTCATTGCTCTTTTAATGCTTCGATTTATCTCATTCAGTTTCCTATGTGATTCAGCTTGACTTTTAATTACCCATTAAGGGAGCGATCACTATAACCATGTTGATAATTTGACTGAAGTTGTTTCTGGTAATTTTGTGAAGCTAAACTGGAGATAACTTAGTTTTGTCACCATATTTTCTTGTATTTTGTGGGTTTTGCTCAAAATTCAGTGAAGTAGTATATGCAATGGGTGGGATGCAGTCCTATAGACATACACTTGAGGTTGTTGGGACGCTGGCTGACATGGAAATGTGTCATAGATCAGATTTTGATTGAATAATACTGATTGAATTGTAATCAGTGGCTAAATAGCGAGCTTTAAGCATAAATTCATTCATTAAAACTGGGTGTCTGCTGAAATCATGGACTTAATGATCAGTATGTGGGCAGACAAGATTATTGCTGCTTAGTACAGAAGTACATTTCTTATAGCTTAGGCTCTACCAATAAAAAGAAATTATTGTACTTTTTGTAAGCACACACCAAAATTGGAAAGTACATTAAATTTGCCAAAAGGGTAAAACATATGGCAGCAAATGCCATCCCAAGCTAAGTAGTGTGTTACATTGCCTATTTTGTCTTTATAGTGGTAAAAAAAAAAGTCATCTGTGATCACTTCTTAAAGAATGCAGTGAAAGTCTTGTAGGAAAAGCGAGCTGAAGTCAGATATTTGGATACTAATGTGCTTACACTTCCTTCACAGAACAGCTGCTTTTTGGTCACAGTTGTTTGACACTCACCTCTGGCTTTGTAAAAGATTTGTGTGTTTGTAGTAAGAGCTGATACTGTGTTGCGGTGATCCAGAACGGCAAAACCACAGCCTGCTTTCCAGCACATGTCTTAATCTGTCAGGACCTCTTTCCACACACAGCTGATAGACTTGCTTATCTCTAGTGCTCTAGAAGCACGCAAATAAAAGTTCTGATAATGTATAACTCAGAAAATAACTCTCACACTAGTGAGGTGAAGGATGTGGAAATGCCTGTTCTGGTTATTTCTGTCATATTGACTTACATAATATAAAGTCTGAACAGCTTAAGCCAGTGAGATCAATTAACAGTAATGAAGAAGTCTCATGTCCTTCCAAAACCTTGTAAATGAGATTTTCTTTTAACTCTTATGAAAACTTAAACAATATTTGAGTCTTAAGACAGAGTACAGTTGCATAAACACAGGTCTTCAGTGTCCTTTTGCACACACCAGGGTATGATGCATATGCAAAAGGCTGTGCATCACCTGCATAGGTCTTGCTGTCATATCTGCCAGTGCTGAGGAGATGTCTCGGAGGCCCTGTACTCAATATTGCTCCAACTTTGCAGAAAAAATAATTCAGCGAAAGCAAAACTGTAAAATGGACATACATCAGTGTTTCTGTAAAATCAGGTTGTGCTACATGTTTTGTTGCATGCCACTTGAAAGAAATATCATACCAAGTTTTATTTTGCACAGCGCAGTGTCCTTACAGAAGTAGCCTTCAATCTATGTGCTGTGTGTATGTATACCTGCATGTATATAATGGTTCAGTTTTTAGTCTGTACTTGGTTAAATTAAACCAGTTTATTTCCCAGTCCTTTCTCTATTAATTTCTTACACAGATTGCTTCTAGCATGGTTGTATTTGTTTCTATGACGTTTACATTTGTTGATCAGTCTACTAGATGGGTATTTGTGTGCTGCATTTGATAGTACTAAACTGGTGTGTGGGTTGCTGTTCCATGCTAGCACTGTGTACATGTGTGCTCCTGTGTGTACAGCCATATCACCATCAGAGAAATTCCTTTTATTGGCTTCCCACCCTATTCTAGATGAGCATGATTAGAATGCTGCTCTCTGTTTTGAAGGATGGAGGGGAAAGGCAGTCTGCTGGCAAAAGGAAACCTCTCCTATCCTCTGGCTTCTCTTCCTTCTCGATTATAGTGCTATTTATCTCTTCTTCACAGCTGTTAGGTACTCTGGGAGTGAGGTGGTCAGAAGAGAGGGTTGTGGCTTCTGAGAGTGGCATGTCCTGTTCCAGGGGTAACTTCCCTTCTGTCCCCTGCAAGCTGAGCTTTGTAGGGAAAAGAGCACTCTCGTCATTGCCTGGCTTAAAGCCTTGAGAGACTATATGCTCCTTCTTTTCATAAACTAAAAATTGGCTTTTTTTGGTTAATTTGTATTCCTAAGAAGTTGTTTTTCTGTTCATGTACTTGCAGAGGATGCTGTTTTTAAAAAACTTCTGTAAATTAAGGATTTTTATTGCCTACAATGAACTTACAGTAGAAGTTGGAAGAATGTTGTATTTCTGTAGCCTTTACTGTCTTTTTTTTTTTTTTTTCAGGTATTAAAAAACCTAATTGCTTGGCTGATAATCTGGTTACTACAGATTTTAAGAGTTATGAGGATAACTGTATCCTATATAATACTTAAGGCTTTGTTTAAGGTCCTTTACAGAACCTTTTCTTCCATTTTCTCGCACTCTTCATATGATCAATGTAGCCATAATAGAGGAGCCACTTGTCCATTGCATGGATTCTGACAAATGTGGGAATAGTTAAGCACCTTTGGGTTCAGCATGCAGTGCCGGCATCCCTTCATTTAACAGCACCCTGTGGCTTAGTATGAGAGAATTCTATTGTGTGCATTTTATAAAAGTGCCATACAACTTAAAATGTAACACATTCTGCTTCTTTTAAGTATTACAGTGTTCATGGAAAAGGTGCTGTAAGACTAGAAACATGATTTTGTTATACAGTTAATTAAAAAAAAAGGCAGATTTTCAATATGAGCTCAGTCAGTGGAAGGCATCAACAAAGACTTTTTTGTTGGCTGTCAAGTGAGAAAAACAGAAAAGACTTAAATTCTTTCTCTAATATTTCCTTCCAGGCTGACTCATCAGTAGAAATTGGGAAGAGCTTCAGAAGAGAAGCCAAACAGACAAGCTGATAACTCAAAGAAATACTCTTTTGAGTTGGGGGTTCAGAGTGGAGCCATCATGAGCGATGTTACCATTGTGAAGGAAGGCTGGGTTCAGAAGAGGGGTAAGTTCTGCCTTTTAATGGCAAGTTCTTCTGGTGTATCGTATGCTGTGCACAGTGTCATTACATGGTTACGCATATGAGCATTCTTGATTTATCTTCTGGTCTGGAGTGAGCTAATCTGACCATATGGAATTAATGGCCATTAAGGCTTCGGTCTTGTTAATACTTAACCCTCAGCAGTGCCCCTGTTTATAGGCGTAACTGACACTGAAGAGGAAGTTGGAATCAGTAATTCCCACTTAACCTTGCTGTTGCAGCTGCTGCTACCCATGTATCAGACTAAGTAGACTGTTGTGGCAGCTGGAAGAGGTAGTAATAGAGGTGCACAGTAGAAGGTTGCCTGGAAGCTGTTGCGGATGCGATACTTTGTGTGAAACTTCCTAGATGCCAAAATCATTCTCTGTGGCTCAGCTTGTATTACAAATGCAAGTGCTCCCCATAAAAACAACATAATACTTGCATAAAGCTCAGCATACACCTAATTACTTTGCAGAGCTGGAAGCCATACATATGATTAAAGAATATAAGCCAGTCTAAAGTATGATTTTTCTGTTACATTTGAATTCCCGTAAATTCTTGAGATGTCTCTTTATAACGTGTCACCATGTGATTTGCAAATTTGGGAAGGCTGCTGTATGTTAAGCTTTGAATGGAAAACCTCTAGAAATATCTGGCATTTGTATCATGTAACGAACTTTGGATGAAATCATCCATGCTTCATGCTGGTCTGCTGTGGGTTGTGGTTGCGCACATAATTATTTCCAAAAGAAATCTCTCCTGCAGAAAGAAGGTGTTCTGGATTATAGGGCGATTTATGCCATGAGTTTCTGTGATTCTAGCCCAGAAAGATTTAGACTGGAATAGTGGGAACAAAATTACCCTTTAATTTACAAAGAAATGCTTTGTTTCAATAGCAGTGTGTGAAGACAAAGATCATTATTAGCTTTGTTATTGCAGATGACATTAAATGTCAAAGAAGCCAAGAGAATTAGAGAAAAAGTTTATTATTCTGTTATTATTCCTGCATAAATTGTATTTCAGGATGCATTATGGGTAATTTAGATGAAAACAGGCTAAACTATGTCACTACTGCTTCCTATTTTGGAATATATACTTATATTTATAACATCAAATTTTACATGACAGGAGCTATTTAAAGTTTTAACTTATTTTTCCTTCCCATCTTGTTGTTTACTCAGTTTGGGTACCTGATTCACTTTTTTGATTATTTCATATAAATTTCTTCTAAGTGTATTAGAAAATGTTTAGGATGATCCAAATAATTTTCCTGTACATGCCATCATTTCCTTTATGTAATATTGTTCATTCTTATTACACCCTAATATCAACTCTGTGAGCACTGGATATGCATATATTAATCACTGAGATCCCGAGAAGGACAATGTACAATGAAACTCAATGTCTTACTGAATATTTGAAATTCTGAAATGTAAAATAAAAGTTTTCTTCCTCGTGCTGTTTTACTATCTTTTAATTGAAAAAAAGCCTGCTGAGTTGACATTTGATGTCAATTTTGTTAGCAATTATTTTCTTTTCTAAGTAAAGACATTTCATGGCATGCATTTGTCCTTATTTTAATTAACTTTGAGTGAATGTATGTTTTTTTTCCATTCTTGTTGTAAGTAACTGTGTACGTTTAAGTTGGACTCTTTTAATTCGATCTAATATTGTCCTTAATTTTCTGTGTCTGACTTATACTGTTTGTTGGTGGATTTAAAAAAGCGTTCATTTTGTTTGTTTCTGAAAACAAAAGGAAAAGTGTAGTGGTGTTACCCAATGTCAAGAATTTGTAAGCATTTAATTCATTGGTTATACATTTCATGTAATTACAGCTTCTATCCTGACCTTGCTCTGGAGCAAGAGAATCAAGGTTGTTAAGTGCTTTTTTTTTAGTTGTTGCCAAATATCCAACCTTAATATAAGTTTTGAAAGTTGGAATATGCTCAGAAGACACTACTTATTCTGGCAGCTAAATGTTCTCTCTGTGTACCAAGAAGCATTATGGGATTGGGTAAAGCTGCCCTACTTCTACAAGGTATCATGCTACAGTTTTAAAGTGAATTTTCTGATCACCCCCACTTGACACTCATTGGCTCAGTTCACAGGGTGGTTTTGGTAGGTACAAAACAAACCTCCTGGAGAAAGCTGGGCATGGCATCTCTTCGCCAGGTGGACACTGAGTCAACTCCAGCCCCAGTGATTGGTCCTTTGGACAGCCCTGAACCATGTGTATGGTGCATCATTCAATCTGAGGCTGAATGTAACTTGAAATGAAACTCGGAAACCCTACATGCTGGAAACATAGGGGCCTGGGCACCAGCTGCTTCAGTTGACTGATCTCCTTCTATTACGCTGAATTACTTGGTCATGCGGATATAGCCTAGGACCTTTTAAAATTGTTCCCTTCAGCAGTCAGGAAGGTCTGTGATACAAGGAAATGGACAAAACAATCTCTCTCTGCCACTCACAGCCCAATTAAGGAGTATGAGAATGACTTAAGGTACTGGGATGAAGAATGGTTTTGTGTAGCTGGCTAATGAGATAGGCCATTACAAAGGCAGGTTAAGTGAAGTAAATGTAGGAATGAGAGGGGAGGACTAAAAAGTTGAGCTGCGAATCTCCAAGTTGAGTTTCTGATAAGGAGAGGCTGAAGAAGACAGAGTCTGTTAGGGCACAGTGTTACAATTCTTAATGGCTGTGAAATGCACTGAGAAAATGTTTGCTTTATTACCCTTAGTGCACTATCCGTGTCAATAACAGAGGGCTGAGGGCTATATGTTTGTAAGCTTTTAACCCTGATGTTGAGCACTGAAGAGTCAATGTGATGCTACGCAGTTGGCTTCAATGCTCTGTTTTTCTGTGTGTGCTTAAATGATGAACACAGTAAAGCATTACTATTTTAAAATCAACCAGCACTCAAAGTTAAGGAATGCCAGGATTAAGTTTATCTCATTAAGGGTGATCATACTCAAGCTTTGAGTAGTTTTTAGGAGAAGAAGTTTCAGTGTAGTGAGAGTAGGTGTTACTGAGGAAGAGTAAGTTATTATATCTGAATGGTCAAGCAAGCAGAGATGACAGGCTGGAGGCGAGAACTTTGGACAGCAGAAGACACAAAACCCAAGAGATAGCAAAGCCTGAGAAGTTCAGTGAACTTTGGGTGTAGTCAGGTCCCATTTCACATGTGAAAGGAGACCCTGAAGCACAGCGGCTGTGCCTGCCTGAGCAAGTATTGCAGTCCAGTGAGAGCAGATTCAACAATGAAATAATTGGTGATGAGGACCTGATACTTGTCTACGCTCAGTGCATTTGCTAAGTGAAGTGAGCTGTCTCCTGTCTTCTCCTGTGCCCCTTTGGCAACGGTAGTGCTCCTGGAGCACATGTTGTGGTTTTCAGTTTCATCTGGAAGGAACCAGGATTGTGCACTCCAGGACTGCTTCATGCAACAAACAAAAGTGTATTAACTAGGGTGACAGAAAGATTTGTTGCAAAAGTGTTCTCCTTATCTGAACTAAAGTATTAATGCAGATATACCCTGTGAGGCATCAGAACTTGCACAAGTGGAGAGCCAGTGGAGCAGTCTTAGAGCAGAGTCTCTGCTCAGGCAAGAGAGGAGTGGGAATATATTTTGTACGGATGGTTTTATGGTTGTCTGTGACTTACTGTCTCAGATCTAGTGATAAGAACCAAGCATCTCACTGCCTTGTGTCCCTGCACTGCTGCAAAGGTATTCTTGTAATTCACTGGCTCATTGTGTTTTGTTTCAGAGAGGATAATAAATTTTCTTTCTTCTTTCTGTTCTCCAGTTATTCCCGTAGCCAGATTAGGAGAGAGATGTGTTGTCTTCCTTTATTTGTTTCCTTTTTAGATTACACCAGTGTTTTTCCTTATAATGCATACAGGTGAAAAGGAAGTGATCTTGACTAAAGATCTGAAACACAGTGATCCAGACCTTGCCCTGACATGCGGAAGTTAAAATATGTACTTGACATTTATGAAGTTAGTGTAAGGACTGCAGTAACTGCTGAAATGACTTTTACACTTTGAATTTGCTTATAATCACAACATTTTGCAGTGTGTTTTTTTTTTTTTAATTATTGTAAGAGGTTTTTCTTAAATTCTATTTAACGTGTTTCTACCGTATTTACTAAATGTAATGTTTTACAGAGAGGGGATATGTTTTTAATTTGTTGGTTTGGAAACAGCATTTTTTTTTAAATAGATGAACATGCTTAGTATAATTAGAGCTGTATAATTACAAAAGTGGGTTTTATGCGTATAATTCAGGTGGTGATTTTTTCTTTAAAGCGAAAGTTTCCTGAGTTGTGGAGTTGACCTTGTCTGTGGTCTATAATAGTCACAACAATTAGATTTAAGAATCATTAAGAACTATGCTTAATTGCAACCTAATTTCCTTATATATAACCTGTGCACAAGATTTCAATTAGTTTAAACATATGAAAAGGTTTAAGAGTCTTTGTTACCATGTTATTAAAAGATCATTTGGGACAAAGGAAAAATTGACACAGATGCTAACTTTTTTAAGGACCCAGTTTTAAATTTAACATGTTAACTAACTTTAATTGAAAGAGTAAGGTGTGTGTTTGTTGTTTTTTTTAGTTTTGTGGGGTTTTTTTAATTTTTTAAATTCTTTTTTCATCTGGGGAGAATATACGTAGTGTATATTGCATAACAAGATGGCTAAATCATTATTTAAAGACAAAGCAAAATCTTATCAGCTTAAGTCAGTGCTTCTGTTGTCATACTTCAGTTACCACACCTCTGTTTGGGTTTCTACATTCAAGTGTGTTATGTTAGATAATGCTGTTTGTCATGACAATCTTTACATGGCTTACATGGTACATTTTTACTCAAATTATATTGAATAGATAATGTACCTGACTTGCTTATGGAGGTGACTTAAATATAGTCTCACAATTTTTGATGTCCTCATTTTATCTCACAATGTTCACCTGAGGTGC